AGTAATCAAGCCTTATTCGCAATTTCAAACCGAAGATGAAATTCTTCTTCTACCAGCTACACAATTTCAAGTTATTGGGAAACTGAATCCAGCTCCCAATTTGCATATTATTCAATTACAAGAAATAAAAGGAAAATACCCATTACTTGAATCACCGTTTGCCACTACTACAATACCGTCGCCACCACCAATACCACCAGCATTGATTAATCAAATTAAAAACGATCCCTCTGACGATCCCTCCTTAGCATCACCATCAAAATCGTCATCAACTCTACTAAAAGTAAATTCAACAGGAAGTATTGAATCGGTTTTTTATGAAGAACCAAAAAATATTTTGAATAATTTCTATCCAGCAATCAGTTCGCCGAAACAAATGTCTGGTAATAATAACGAACAATTCCCACCACATTTCACACATAGCTCAAATTCTAATGAACATCGAAAACATCAACATAACTCTGATCTACGACAACAACCAAAAAATATTTTGAATGAACCCTATTCAACTAACAAAGATCAGTCAACGAAACAAAATATCAGTTCTAATAACTATTCTAGTGAACCGACGTTATATGTAAGACAACAACATTTGCCAAGCAGTCCAGTTCAAAATTCAGCCCGTTATCAGAATACTAACAACAGGGTGTTTTATGCCGGTGACCTGAAAAATGTCCCAAACGTACAACTATCACGAAACGACAACCGTCAACCCCCACCACATCTCAAAGATCTCTCAACTTATAATGAACACCTAAATCATCAATATAACTATGATCTACCAAAACAACGAAAAACTTTACTTCACCGTCTGTTCCACAGTAAGAAAAACTACTGAATCCAAATTGTTAAATTAATTTTCACACATTTCATTTCTGTTAGCGTTGAATGTCATTCGTTCATATTTTTGAAATTTTGTTTTCTTGAATTATTTTAAAGTTAAAGCATAATTTTACTTTAAAAAGATTCAGTTTTATGATTGCATTCGATCTAAACAATATTCACAATGTAAGCCCTTCATCTAATATAGAATGAGCTCGATCAACTGAACTGATAAAAAACTGAAAGTTTCAATATTTTAAAGCAACGCTAAAATTTCTGATAAAATTGGTTTTTTCAGCGTTCTTTTCAACTAGATGGGGAAGATCAGGCTACATCAAACTTCCAATGCCCTACATGAACCCTC